TCACTCACTCACTCACTCACTCACTCACTCACTCACTCACTCACTCACTCACTCACTCACTCACTCACTCACTCGTATTAAAAAGCTTAAATCTCTATATGTCTAAATACCAGAACTAGGTCAATATAAACAAGAAACAAGATTTAAATTCAACAAATGTGAGATTTTACAGAAAAAAACTTTAATTAGAAGGATATTGAATTCGTTCCAATTTCCGGCAAAAAGGGAGTAAACGTTTTAAAGCGTAAAGAAGGTAGAATACAATTTTATCTAAAAAATTTGTAAAACAACCCTTAATTTTGAAGTATTTAAGTTTCCCTCCGGGGAAAATTTGGTTGCCCAAACGGAAGGGATAAAATGTGGAAACCGATACAGGTTCGAAGATGAAACAAAAAATCCACAGATTTCAGCCCAGACAAATATACCTTGTTACAAATTGACGGATGGTTATAGTTAGATAGATAGATAAACAGACAAATAGATAAACAAACAGACAGAAAGATAGACAAACAGATAGATGATAGACTGAAAAATAGACTGACATGAACAACAAACTGGAAATGGATTTATAGATATTTCCTTTTTATTTGTATGCGTGAGCTTGTGCCCACACCCCTTATCCAAAAATAAATTATTAAAGTTAAAAAGACTGACATGAACTTATATATTCTTAATACAGAGGACCGAACCAGATAGATAGAAAGATAGGCAGATAAACTGACAAACAGACAGACAGAAAGAGGAACATATAGATATATAGATAGATAGATAGACAAATATTCATAATAAAAAAACAATAATGTTACCAGGTCAAAGATATTTCCAAGATGGCAGACAATGAACAGAAACACAAAAAGCAGACAAAAACATTTGTATCATAAGAAAATTCAATTAAAAAAGTAAATTGAAAAACTAGCCTTAAAGGGCGCTTCGCGCCCATCTTCTAAATTAATTGTGAACATGTTCTCTTTGTGTACATCGTAAAACAAAACAAAAATAATTCGCGGATTTTCACAAAAAATT